CCGAAAGTCGCAACTAAGGTTGAGATTGCAAGCACTCTTAAAGCCTATTTGCTCTACCAGTGCTTGCAAGCGACGTTTAAAAAAGCCAAAGCTAAAGGGATGCATTCAGGCATGACCTTATTATTAGATCATAAATACATCACGAAATGCACAAACGCACAGAGACACCCTATTATTACGCCTCGTACGAAGCGTAAAATTTGCTGGAGCAGTGTGCAACAATTTAACTCTGAATCCTGATACTTACACGGTACCTGCATAGCAATCGCACCAGACTGGTTAACATCCCTGCCTTTCCTTTCCCTGCTGTTTCTCCTCCTTGAGATTAGTTTCTTTCTTTGTGCGTGTCTTCTGTTTGATCCCGGAAAAAGCACAAACTTGCAGAAAGACCCCCAAGCCCTCATTGGGGAAAACTATACCCTTCTGTCTCACCATGCGTGTGTGCAGCTTTTGTGTCTCTGTTTTGGTGCTGAAAGTTCACTTAATTTGACCCGTTCCTCCGGCGCGTTCATTTTTCAAAGAAACTTTTCCCCTCGATTCAACCGGGATGTTAAATCCGTCATCGGCACTCTGCCAGGAGGAAGCAACCTGCGTGTCTGTACTAAACGAACGCACAGCCGCCGCTTCGGCCCGCGCATAAATCCAGCCGGGAGCTGCTTCATTAGCGAGCCAAAATAACACGAACGCCAGGACTGGTACCGATCGTGCCCGAACAAAGCGGCACAAAACTTCTCTCCCTCTCTCTTTCTTTCAGAGGCAAACGAGTTCTGTCGCTCAAGAACACTAATCCTCACCTTGATCCGCTTTTGCAGTGTCACTACGTGCATCCATTGGCATTTGTCTTTCGTTTCGCAAAGCAGGGGAACCAGGTCACGATGTCGCTGTCTGTTAATGAGCTTTGTAATTCGCGGAAGCTTCGTATATCGGCCGCAATACGCCGCTACGTATACCTGTGTAACCGCGTCCATGTGTCGTCATCTTAGACATTTACTGGCACGTAAAATTGCTTCCGCGTCAGAACTTGACTGTTTCACCGGTTACGAACACGGTGGAAGAATATATTTGCTCCGTGCTTACGGGTGACGTCTTACAATGGCTTTCGAGTTGAACTCGAAAGCCATCTTTTTTTTGTCCTCAGTCAATGTATTCAACATGGTCCTCCCCTCGGAAAAGTTTCTGCACCTATAACGTGGTTTCGCGCTGCCTCCAGTATTGGAGTGGTTGCAAGCTGTAGCTGCCCCTAACTAATACTGTTGTTACAAACGCAGCCTAAACCACGGTTACGCTAACCGCGGTTACGTTAACCGCGGTTCGCTGATGTTACACGGAACGCGAAATCGCGGTTATGCCACTAACCGTAGTTTTAAGAAACCGAGCTCTGCAACCTCGGTTAGGCAGATAACCGATAAAATGGCGGCGTTTACCACCGATGAGTGCATGCCGGCGAGCTCGCGTGAAAAATGGACGAGCTGCACGGCACTAACCACTCGTAAAGCCTGATAAAGATGTGGGAAAATCATTTGAGTGATATGCGGAGCACGTCACGCTATGCAAAGGTGTACGCGGCCATTACAGCCGAGTTGAACGCCAAACTTCCGCCTGACGCAGAGCAATCCACGTGCACGTCAAAGCAAGTCCGGAAGAAGATAGGCTATCTGAACAAGAAGTACCGGTAAGTACATGAATATACAAAGGGGCACATATGACAATTTCGCCTGGTTGCTGCTGAGTGTATTCAGGGCATACATACGCAAGGAAGTAGCTCTGTTGATTGTTCTACGCCAGATGGCGTTAGCCACCTTAACCGAGGATGCTTTCGCGCTGTGTAACATCGGCGAAGCGGGGTTGCCCCTAACCGTGGTTCAACGCGGTCAACCATGGTTGGTCGTAACCGCGCTTGCTTTGCCTGTGTAACATGAGTATTAGTCTTGACAATTATGGTTCCGCGACAGGCCCATCTAAGACCAAGCGACAATGCCACGTGATGAGACGTGATAACATGTCGCGTTAGCGTCACGATTTCTGGCAATCTGTGTACCCTCGAAACGTGCGTTGGAACGGAGAGGGGAAGCGTCGCTTGTGTAAACGAGAGAATCACCAAGATGAACGCAGCCCAAGTCTTTGCGAACCTTTCGACGATATATGTTGATCATAGGATCAAGACCTTTCTGCGGAAAACTATAGCTGAATCGACAGAATAAACAACCCACTATCTTCATGATAGCAGTCATGCTGATGTTGACTCGTGAATATAGATTATTATTTATATGTCAATTTTATTTAAAATTTGTTGAAAAAAGTGCCACCGTGAACATTGCGTTCACTGTTGTATTTCAACCTGCAATTACAAAATATTTCTAAGGCTCTAGTTACTGCTGCTCTTGCCTCAGTTTACACAAGTGTGGTATCTTATTTTGTCGGTTGGATGTAATAGAAAGTGCTCCCTATTGAAATGTGGATATTTTGTCCAAATAACATGCGAAATTCTTGGGATGTTCCAAAAATATCTGCATTACCATTCTAGAGCTGCGTTACCACCTGAAAACTATTCGCATTGAATTGGATTCATATCAGCATTAGATTCAATGTCCTCGCTATTGGGTTCGTATCTTATTCGGTTCTAAACTTCACTATTCGCTAAATCCTACAAATAATGTAAAAATTGTCTACTTCAAACCAATATTTCTATCATTTCATGAGTAAGCATGCTTTATTGATAGAAAAGACGCGAGATATACCGGCCAGGTGAAAGCCATTGTAACATTGTGTACTCCAGATACGAACACATTAAAAAATAAAAATAAAAAGACAGTGAAACGGAGGCACGTGCATGTGCTCAATTAAGATCGCACTTGCTCGTGAATCTATTCGACAAGCTGTCTCCCAGCAACTCGCACTGAACTTTATGTAGAGGCCGAGCTAGTTCCTCTAACACTCGTTTATTTTGTCCTCCTACACCGTCCGCCTAAATTATGCCAGCCCCCCGCAATCTGCGTTGCTACGCTACAGCTTAATCACCATGCGTAAACGATGGGAAATCGATGAAAGCGTCGCAGAAGGCGGATCCACCCCAAATTAGGCTGTAAGAATTCAATCTCCCCATTGAGCCGCCTGGTGCTTTGCAGACTATCGCCGAAACATTGATTTAACGCCAGTCGTTATGTCATCGTTACCCGTCGCTGCGTTCTCGATCCGTGGATAACAAGCCGTCTCTCTCTTTGCCACGAGAACACACGATGACCACAATAATGGCTGCGCAAAACATTGTCCCAAGGTCTCACGAAATAACATCGTACGCAACGGCTAGCCGATATCTTTGAAAACGAAAGCCTGTCAATTGTATAACTATACTCAGCTATGGGTTTGAAACTTCGGAGATGTCTGAAAAATATCGAGAAAAGTGCTTAAGCACGGGATGAACGTGTATGAAGAGACGTACAAGCGCTCATTTCCAACTTAAACTGACCTCCAAGCTGAAAACAGCTTGCGTGTTGTTCCTTATCTGTTCCTTTGCATTTCGTGCGCTATTAGCCGAGGTTGCTTGGCACGTGAGATGTCGCGCCGCTAAGTTAGACGGCGGAGGTTAAATCTCTTTCTTTCTTTCTTTCTTTATTTCTTTCTTTCTTTCTTTCTTTCTTTCTTTCTTTCTTTCTTTCTTTCTTTCTTTCTTTCTTTCTTTTCTTTCTTTCTTTCTTTCTTTCTTTCTTCCTTCCTTCCTCCCTTCCTTCTTTTCTTTCTTTCTTTCTTTCTTTCTTTCTTTTCTTTCTTTCTTTCGTTTATCTTTTCTCATTAAAGGTATGAGCTGTGTTCAACTATTCAAGTATTTCAACGTCCCGTAATTGTTTTGGCGGCGAAGACACGAAAAAGCGCTAATGGTATTTATTTATTTATTTATTTCCTTATTTATTTACAGTACCTACAGCGCCCGCGTGGGGCATTAGTGTAGGTGGAAATAATAAAACCTATTTAAAATACATATACAAAAATAATACATATACGAAAAAGTTTCAGAACAATAAATAAAAAAATGAAGAATGGGAAAAGAGCTATTAACACTGCGGTGTACATAAAAAAATGCAGCTACATACCAAAGCATTTAAGTGACACATAATTAGCATTGACGTGTGGGAAGAGGCAAGCACAAGATATTTGCAATGCAACAAGCGAGTTCGCCGACTAAAACTTGTTAGATTACTGACGAAGCGTTTGCCACGACGAGCTGGTTCAAGGAGAAACCCGGCAAGCACGAGCCACACGAACGTCAACGTCTTCTTTTACGCTGGCACAGAGCTGGAGCCGCTATGATTCGGATACAGTAAATATAACACACACACACACACACACACACACACACACACACACACACACACACACACACACACCACACACACACACACACACACACACACACACACACACACACACACACACACACACACACACACACACACACACACACACACACACACACACACACACACACACACACACACACACATATATATATATATATATATATATATATATATATATATATATACACCAGCAGAGATCTCGAAAACAAGAAAAGAACTTATACTTGGACCGCTGGAAGGAACACATGACAGTATAATCAGGCTACGATAAAATATGACTTTGAACATAGCCTCCTTTATTTTCTAAAAAATAAAGGAGGCTATGCTTTGAAGCGCAACGGTGAATGTTTCCCTGGACACGGCTCCAATTTCTTGAGGTAGTTGTTGCATTGCTATATTCATCATGGAAAAAAATGAATATTTAAAAAAGTCGCGTACTTTTAGAGGGTGGTCAGCACGAGCAAATATATACGCAGGCTTTATATATACGTGTGGCAGCAGGTGGGTTTAGCTTGGCCTAGGTGGCCGGCAATCATTTCACCTGAGCAGCTCCTGAATTCTAGGTGTCTTTCACCACGTGTTCGAGATTAACAGCACAGTGCCTCGCAGGAGGGCAACCAAACGCAGTGGAAGCGTAGTCCTTACCTGCTTTTGATTTTCACGCTGTATGCTCAGCCTCGACTCGATGCACTGCCTCGTCTCGAGGAAGGCTTGCTTCTGGGCCGCCTTGCTCGGGTAGTGCGAGAACATGCCGATGGTGTTCACCGCCACCAGCAGTATCACGTTGCACGTCACCTGCGGGCACGAATAGGAAAGACGCCTTATGGGACACACCATCCGAAGCTTTCGAGAGCGATTCAGAGTGACCCATTGAACATTTCCAGAAGCTGTTGCAGTATGTATGTATGTATGTATGTATGTATGTATGTATGTATGTATGTATGTATGTATGTATGTATGTATGTATGTATGTATGTATGTATGTATGTGTGTGTGTGTGTATGTATGTATGTATGTATGTATGTATGTATGTATGTATGTATGTATGTATGTATGTATGTATGTATGTATGTATGTATGTATGTATGTATGTATGTATGTATGTATGTATGTATGTATGTATGTATGTATGTATGTATGTATGTATGTATGTATGTATGTATGTATGTACGCAGTGTCTACGGGGACATTAGCCAAAGGTGGGCCAGAAATGGATTGGGCACGAAGCTTCACACAAAATTTGTATCTGCAGTCGCCCCATGTAAATTACACCAACACATATATTACAAAAAGAATGCACGTATGAAAGTACGCATATAATTGTACTAGTGATACATATGACTGCTACGAACTATTGCAGCCAGGGACGTTAACCAACACGTGCAATCATTACATGAGTACACGATGCAAGGAGCATTCATTTATAAAAAAAAAATACGCATCAGGTAATAAGCGGTAGGTGTGCGCAGGCAATTGCTAAAACGAAGGCGAAGAATGTATCGAGAGCACTGAAGGAAACCATCCGTTAAGAATGCTAGCAAATGCGGCTCTTTCATTTTTCTGCTATGCCTTCGGTCATTTTGGCAGTGTTTTTGTAGTGGCCGGGAAAACCGGTATCGCCAAAACGCAATGCTCCAAGATAAAAAGACGCTTCGCGTTTTCCCTGGAGGAAAATGGCGCATGCGCCATGGCATCGTGAAATAGGTGGTCGGACAGATGAGCCGGCCAGTCTAATGAGACAAATATGACAGAAAATCATCTGCGAATAAAAAAAAAAAAACTAAGACGCATAACCTCTTGAAGTGGTCTTGCATGCGTGCTACAAGATTGATTGATGTTTGATATGCGGAGTTTAACGTCCCAAAAGCACCATATGATTATGAGAGACACCATATTGGAGGGCTCCGGAAATTTCGACCACTTGGGGTTCTTTAACGTGCACCCAAATCTGAGCACACTGCAGCCTACAGCATTTCCGCCTCCATCAGAAATGCAGCTGCCGCAGCCAGGATTCGATCCCGCGACATGCGGGTCAGCAGCCGAGTACCTTAGCCACTATAGACCACCGCGGCGGGGATGTATGCTACAAGAACATTAACTTTACTCCCATTGAGAGTTTACATCTATGCAATACTACGTTAAAAGGTTCGACCAAAAATGCCAACACTAAGTCAGGAATAATCGGACTGTGAGACATTAAGGCGAAGAAATGAGTCGCGGGGACGAAGGAAATAATGAATCTTATCAAAGGGAGTATGATAATGAGAGACCTTAATATGCACCGAGAAGTACGACAAGATAAATATAAACAGACTTATACACGGCTGATTTTCCCCCTATGTCGCATTGGCACATCCGCATTGCGGAGGATCACGCGAACTTAAGTTACGTTGATTATGTCAATGTTCAAAATCCTAATTAGCACGTGTAATGCGCATAAGTGAGACTCTCATATGCGTAATATATAGCTATAGCTTGGTCCAGGCTGCAAAAATATTAATAGTATTATTAGTTTTGTGAATATTCTAGTTTTCATTTTTGCTGTGAAACATTTATTGAAGTTAGGCTGTTACGATGAGAATGAAATAACAAACGAGCGCGCTCGTCACTGTAAAAAAAACCCACCTAACTAACCAACAAATCGCTTATTGTATTACCGCGCTAAGTTGCCTAATGACTCTTCCCATGCGCAGGGTAGCAAACCGGCTGCCTATAGGCTGCTTAACCTCCCTGCCATTCTTTTCCCCCTATTTTCCTTCCTCCGAGCAGCAGAGCACATGAATGCAATGTGAGAGCACCAGCTCTGATAAGCTGTACCATTAACGCTTGTTAGTATTTGAAGCCTTATTCTTTTAACAAGAAGTTCGTCAATAATAATGTAAAAATAAATGTCGTTCGCTTTGCGTTTCTGACTGGCAAGTGTCTCTACATGTGTTTTGACAGTCAGTAGTAACCTTAAAGCACGGTCGTTGACTGAAGTGGTCATACACTATTTTTAATCCTTCGTTACAAAAACCTAATTGTCTAAACAAAAATCTATCATTAAGGACGACACTTAATACCGTATGTCGGCGATGTAGATTAGAAATAGCCATAGTTGGAGAATGCTGTCATTGAGCACAAAATACGGGGAATAATATATATAAGATTGTTAAGTGCTGCGAGCTGGAGGTGACTCTAAAGTATGTTGCGAACTCAGGATAACGTAATCGAGCCCATGTTTATTGCCGGTAACTTGGGAAGTTATACTGACATGGCTGTCGCGGCCCACTGCTTTTAAAAAGTCGGCTTGTCACCTGCCTGCCGCTTATTCTTTCATTAGAATTTAAGCTTCTTGTTCACAGAAAACTAAGTTACATAAGAACAGCTCGGAATTTCATCTGCTAGATATAGTCTACAATTTCCCAACAAGCCAGATATGGCGTTAGTTCTCCAAATAGTTCGTTCACCTCGTAAACATAAGGTATTGCTCACACAGAGAGAAAGCAAGATAACGCAAAAGCGTTTCTGTAAGAGTACAGCTGCACAAGTTGAAGCACTCTATATAAATTGGCAGCAGCAAGCACAGGACCGAGTTGACTGGCGGAACATGGGAGAGGCCTTTGTCCTGCAGTGGACGTAGTCAGGATGATGATGATGATGATGATGATGATGATAATATAACACGGTCCACAAACTACAAAAATACACTCGGCAGCGTGTCTAAATGTAAATTTAAAGAAATGCTACGGTATTCACAGCGTACAAACGATTTAAAATACGCGCGACACTCGCGCGCGCATTTCTATGCGTGTATATACACACATTTGCAAAAATATTCGGGGAGGAAAATTACAGAAGCTCAATTTCAGAATGGGTGGGACTACGACTTGCACAGAAAACAAGCATATGTGAAAAATACGGTCACACGGGAAACGCAACAAATTTCCTAAAGCGCTAGCTTATACAAACAAAGCTATACTTCTCGCTTAGAAAAGCCTTAATTATGATAAGAATGGACACACGCTAAATAATGGTATACTCAGGATGACTGCCAGTTGGGCGTGTTGGTAAAGGTTCATGATGAGACAAGCGCAAAAATACACACACTCAGAGAGGACACAGACAAGCGCTTACTAGCAACTGAAAATTTTATTTCGAAGCGAACACCAATAAATACATCACACGCATGTACGCCATTCCCAACTTCCCATGGTATACTCACCAAGGAGAACTAAATCATCGGGAGCGAATTGATTAGAACAAACTACTCGAGTATCCGTCACCTTCTTTCCAATGCGTAATATGCCGATTTGCACCGTTCTCCGCCACGGAATATGATTCTTTCTTTCTTTTTCTTTCTTTCTTTCGTTCTTACTTACTTTCTTTCTTTCTCTTTCTTTCTTCCTTTCTCTCTTTCTTTCTTCTTTCTCTTTTTTCTCTCTTTCTTTCTTTTTTACATGTCCCTAGGCGGTCGCGTCGAACAGGGTACACATGCACACACATACGCATAAGATGATTTTGCTTTTACATTCCACAACAGCTTCATAAAGTTTGATGTTATAACGCCGTCCTTGCGAACGCCACAGTGCTGGCTTACAAAGCTTAAAATGAGCAAACTACAAAGGCGAAAAGTGGAAAAAAAAATTAACATTTGTTGCCGAGTTGCAGTCATGTCGCGACCAACCGAAGGCGCGGCGTTTCACGTAACGTAACGGCCGTCCAAACCAGAGTGCCCTTCAGTGTCGGCAAGTCAAGTAACGTTAGTTATATATGAGCGATAAAGTCATGGGTGTGCGGTGGCTGCTTGTGTTATGCGTGCTTATTACACACGCAACCAAAGCAGTCGGCTCCATTTATTCCCTCATACGCATATTAGACGTGCACTTGCAGAGCGAATTACTTACCGCAACTCATCCCCTTGTCTTTTCACCCGCTTGGTTGTGAAGAGAGTTATATCCGTCGTAAAGTTGCCTAATGTCTTTTCATTCACGAAGTATCTAGTCATAAGCAGAAGAGGGCGAGAGAGAAAGAAAGAGACAGCTAGCTCCTGCGAAGTAAAGGGTGCTCGCATCCAGAGCCGGCTGCGGTTGAGTGCCGTTGCGAAATTCAGTTACTTGAGATTCTCACCGTCTTCGGCCCTTGTATACGCATTTGTCTTTGAAATCTTTTCTAGAGTTGTTTGCCCTGGTGTTGCGATGTATACACGATAAAGATTGAAAGAAAAGGAACACTGAAAGGAGGCCGATTGTAAAAGAGAACGCGCTTTGGTAACGCAGCAAGCGTGCTCGAGCAAGCTGCTTTGTAACACGCGTGCGCGAATACGTGCCGAGCGCTGCAAGAAACGCGACAAAGCGAACGAGCTATATAACGCTCCTCTCGCGCAAATGTTGGGCTCAATAACAACGAAGAAAAAGAAAGCTTAAACAATTCAGCGCGAAGTTTCGTTCCTGCATGCGGAGTGTGCGACCGGGGACCGATTATGCAACAACGAGTGAGCATGCAAGCGGCAAAGATACGCCCCGTTTTACCGAGCGGAGACGAGGGGTCATGGCTTCATAGATAGCGCGGGTAATACGCTCTAGGGAGGTGCGAGAACGTTCGGAATGCGCCCGCTCTGCCCGCCCCTCGTAAATTCGGTGTAACGAACCGCGCACATATACGCTTTCGCTTTGCCTCGCTTTGCCTCGCTTTCACCCGCAATGATTGGTGAGTGTGGGAAGCGAGGAAGGGGAGGGATAGATATTGCAAAACAATGGCGCAGGTTTCAATCGGCAGGCACGCGCATACATATTTTGGGCTTGATACGCATGCAC